ATTGCTACCCCTTACCTTATAGGAATCCGACTTGCACACAGTCGGTGTCAAATGTTAGTGTACACCTTGTCACAATTATCTTCACGGAAAATTCTTTTCATTAATTATTTATGAAAATATAGTTAATTCTGTAATATAAACCATATAAATCAAAGTTTCAACTTAACATACATACATAAGTACATATGTATAAAAAATTTACAAAAATTCAAATATTTTTTACATAAATTTAAATTTTTTTATTCTGAATTTCTAGAACATTTTCGGGTATGCAGATTTGTAGCCTATTCAATTTTAGTGCAAGTTTCAAGTCGCTAAAAATTACCGATACTTTTTTAGATTTTTTTTGTGTTACGCATTTTCTTCCATATAACCAGGGCTTTGGAGCAAAGGTTTTTTTCATCCCTTCGCTCTAGCTCCACTCTTGTTCCACTCCCGCTCCCAACAAAAAACTTTATTTATTTATTTATTTACATATCGAGTCCTAACCACCAAAAAACGTAGGTAAGATTTTTTTTTTCTTTATGATGCAGAAATGCATCTAGATATATGTATGCATTTCTGCTTCCAAAAGAAAACTAAAAAAAAATTCGAAGTTAATTAAGTAGAATGGAAATTTATTTAACGCGGTGGTTTTCAGTGGCAAAAAAGGTAAATTTAAGTATTAACTGATTTTTTTTTTTTAACTTTTATAGAGCTTGAAACAATTGAAGAAAACAATAAAAAAAATATTTCAAAACAAATCGTTACTATGTAGACCAGAAAATAACAAAAACAAAATATTTAATATTTAATATTTTCGTCTCGGTTTACGCGTGACGGTTTGGAGTGATTAAGTTGACCAAATTATCTATCACGTGAGGTATCCTAATCTATGTCTTTAAATTTAGTAATTACTAATATTTTGTACGACACTGTATCTACGAGTAATAAGAAGTTACGTTGTTGTTCTTGTTGTAGCAGCATACAAGTTCCTCAAAGAGTTTTTGGGGAGTGTTGCTGGAGTGACAGTCCTTGGTCAAATATTAATCTGGGTCGTTCCGGTTACGTAGACCCGACTGTGGTGGGAACGTAAGAAGTTACGTCGGCCGCTTTGGTGTAATGATTAGCAGTGCGCGCTGCCATTTTGCAGGGCCAGGGTTCAAGACCGGTTTCCGACCAACTTCAAAAATTAAAAATAAATTAAAAAAATAAACGCAATAGCCAACCTCCAAGTGTATTTCTGCCATAAAAAATAGCTTCTCATAAAAATACAATCGTCATTCGGAGTCGTCGTAAAACTGTAGGTCTCTACCCTTTGTGCGACAATATCAAGGCGCACGCCATAAATCGGAGGAGAAGCTAGGCCAAACACTAACAAACATATGTATGCGTAAGTGCCAATCTATTATTATTATTAGGGTACGGATAATTTTACTACATTTTGTATGGGAATATACATATTTATTTGTTCATGCAGTAATCTTATAAATTAATAAAAATTAAAATAAACATTTTGTTACAACAAATAAAATACATCTTAACAGCAGGGAGGTAAAACAACGCAGCGATAAAATCGGCGGATACACAGATATATATGTATATATTTGTGTACGTATGTACATACATATATACATATGTATCAGCATATTTATATACATATGTATGTAGGTACATTTATACATATTTACACATAGCTTTGTGAATATATAGCAGCAATAAAATACACGTACAACCCAAGCGAACTAGCCGGAAAGTAGGCAAACAGACAATCTAGCGAGAAGCCCGTCGAGCAGGCAGGCAAGGGGTCTATTCAATGTGCATACATATGTATGTAGATGCCGATTTATTTGGCGTTGTATTGAAGCTGAGACTGTGCCGTTGCTGCCACTCCACCAGTAAGTCCAAGCAGAAACATCAGCACCAGCGGCGGCGAGAGTTTAAATTACGCTGAGCTTTCGGCAGCCGTGTGCTCTTCTTACTCGTTATCGAAAAATAACAGAACAGAGGCAGAAATGGCAGATAGACAGTTTGAATTTGCGCTACACCACATGGAGGATAAACTGGCAGAGTGAGAGAATTGGGACGCGAATTGGGGGTTAAAGTGGGACGGCAGCGCAGTCGTCGCAGGCGCGCGACTAATACAAGCACATTACGCAGCGTAGCGTTGACTTTGGCATCGACTGTGCCGCGGTAGCTATCAAGAGCAGCGGAAATGTATACGTTTAGGTGAAGGTGTGTCTGTCGGCAATGGCGCAGGCGGTGCACAATATTCTCATTTTTAATATGGTGTACATATGTACGTACATACATATATATAAATGTACGTTTATGTGTGTGTGCATGTGTACTAAGCCCGCTGGATTCAATGGGGACCTAGCAAATGGAATTAAAACAGTCAAATTAAGCTTGATTTTGATGAGGTGGGGTTAGACATGTACTACTCACTCTCCTCTCTGAACACAGCGAAAAGTGACGATTAGAGGAGGAAGTTACTGGAAAGTTACTCTAGTTGTAACGATGAACGACCGGTAATAATTTTTAGCGAAAAATTGATTTCTTATTTAGTTTTTTGTTTCATTTTGGCATTCAGGAATTAAGCTTCCATAATTTTTTGGAACTCTTTTTGAAACCTTACGAGTACAAATTATATTACATATGTATGTATGTACATATCATAATAATGTTTTGCCACTTACACTTTTCTTTTGTAGGGTGTGTTTTGATGTTGTTACTCAAAGGGAGGGACCTACAGTTTTACGCCGCCTTCGAACGGCAAATTGATTTTACGAGAAGCTTTTTCTTGGCAGAAATGCATTCGGAGGTTTGCCACTGCCTGCCGAGGGTCGACCGCTATTAGAGAACACTTTTTCTTATTTTTTGCTGTTTTGTTGAACCGGGTTTGAACACTGCGCGTAGGTCAAGGGGCACGCCACAAATCGGAGGAGAAGCTCGGCCAAACACTGACATGTCGCACGCGATCTTCAAAAGTGACACAACTCAAAATTTGGAATTTTTAAAATTATGCACTAAAAAATGTGCTCAGAGATTTCAGCAAAAGGTGAAGCAAATTTTTGTTATAATTTATTCAAAAAACCTTAGGTAAAGACCCTTGCCCATATGATTAGCATGTGCTACGAAATATTTTTCGCATTTTCTGACGAAAGTGTAATTTTTGAAGATCGGGTGCGATATGTGTAAGCGCCAGCCTATTATGGTACAAACATATGTATGTATGTAAGTCCATATTCATTCAGTGACTAAAACAAGATTTTCATAAAAATCTCGAGTTTTTAGAACATTTCTGGACAGTATTTTAGCCCACACATTTTTGGTGTAATGAAGTGAAAGTTTTAACAAACTGAAAAATCCTGTTGATTTTTGAAGTTTTTTTTTTGGGTTCCTTTTGCATTTTGTATTTTGCTTCATAAGAAATTCATGCTTATATGGAAAAAGTAAAAATCAACACATTTAAATTATATGGGCTGTAGGAGTCGGCCGCTGTGGTGTAGTGGTAAGCAGTGCGCGCTTTCACTCACCAGCACCTGGGTTCAAGCCCTGGTTTTGCTTAACAGCGTTCGTCCCTCGGCAGGCAATGGCAAACCTTCGAGTATATTTCTGTCATGAAAAACAGCTTCTCATACAAATACAATCACCGTTCGGAGTCGGCGTAAAACTGTAGGTCCCTCCGTTTTGTATGACAACATCAAGGCGTACGCCACAAGTCAGAGGAGAAGCTCGGCCAAACACTAACATATGTGTAAGCGCCAATCTAAAAAAAAAAAAAAAAAAAACCCCATATATATGTATGTACACCAGGCGACAAATGAAAGTGTACATCTTTTTCTAATATATTATTCTCAATAATTGTCATGAACAATTTTTTCCATGAATTTTTCATGAAAATATAGTCCATTCTATAATATAAACCAAATAAATCAAAGTTTCACACTTTTTATAAAATTCACAAAAATTAAAACAAAAATCATTATATATCAGAATTTGTTTTCAGAATTTCTATAACATTTTCGAAAATGCAGATTTGTAGCCCATTCAAGTTAAAAAAAAATTCAAAAAATTTTCATCAAAATTTAAAAATTTTTATTCAGAATTTCTAGAAAATTTTCGAGTATGCAAGTTTGAAATTTCGAGGAAAATTGTGGGAAATGTTTACTTACATACATATTTGTAAAACATTCTGGGGTGGGGCCGAAGGGGAAGGATGCTTCATGAAATGGCAAAGTTGGGCGGTGCTATTGTATATGACCAGCATATCGAATAAAAACTGGATTTTCAAATATCATACCTAGTGCATTAAAAGCTTAAACAGAAGGCAGCATTGATCGGGATTAACTGGGACTTAATCCGGATCAACTGCAGTTAACTCCAGAGTTGATCCGGATCAACGCTGCCGTCTGTTTAAGCTCTAATACATCTTTCATATCGCATTGCCTGCGGGTTCTTAGCTCAGTTTGAAAGTCTTTAGCGCATCGGGAAGTTTGTTAAAAATTGATTGCAAAATTTGATTGCACACAGGTGAAACTTAATAAAAGCTGGTAAAAAACATTGATATTTCTGGCATATTTACTTATCTTTCCAACTTTAGGGAAAATTACGTTGATATCACTGTTTTAATTTAAAGCATACATACGTGCATATACAGCAAGATAAATCATTTATTAACAGCTAATTTTGGAAAACGAAAAATAAACTTAATCAGGAAGAAGAGGACTACCTAAACATGTTTGCGATTTCAATTATATATTTTATAGAAGTTGGTGAATGGGGTTAGGGCAATTACATTTTCTACCCACATAATAGTTGTACCATGCATTTAGATTATTTACTGATTTAATTATGCTGTACTCATTTTTTATTAGCGCGCTCTACATACTATGTGTAGCTTTCGCTATACGGTCAGCCTACATATGTAGTTGTTTTAATTGTATATCTACAATTTTATGATAAATAGCTGTTTAATTAAATGCGATGTTGTTTTTTTTAATGCAATCTTTAATTACCAGTAATTTGAAATCCAATTGTATTGTTTTATTATCCATTTTGTTGACGCTTCCTGCATTTGGAATAGTTATTTTTATGTTTTCTTTCACAATTCCGTTTGTTCCACTTCTCCCACTCACACACACTTCACTCCGCTCATTTGTTCAATTTCTTTTTCTCAGCCACTTTGTTCGAGTTTCTTCTTTACACCTTTTCTATTTTTTCA